CTGGCAATCACGAGCCCGGTGCCGCGCTTAGTGGTCGGTGTGGGCTGGCTATAGCTGCGGTGATGCAGCATGATTGCTTACAATCCATTCTTTGGTCATATGGACACCAAAGTAGTCATGACTGCCCTTATCGACCCCCCTGATTCTTCCAAGTCATCAACGGCTCTTCCATCTGTGCACGAGGTAGTGCAGCATGCTGCTGATGGATGGGGTTCGAGCTGCATGGATTTCCCAGCAGCAGCAGGGCAGCGCGTGTGGGGTACACGTATGTATGTGCTGCTTGCTCCCCTTGCTTGCCCGCCGGTAGGCTTGAAGAAAGCTCAGAGCGCCATGCGTGATTCCTTCTTCTGCTGGCTATGCGCCGGCAACGATCTCCCCTCCCGCCCCGCCCCTCTCTGCCAAGGAGGTGAGAGCTATGCAGGCATGCCAACAGCTCACTCGGGTCTCAGCCACAGAATTCCTTTCCTGCCTGATCACTTCGCCGGCAAAGGGCAGACGCACCGAAATCCTGAACGATTTACGGCCTGCTATCGAATCATATTGTTTTGGAGGAAGATCCACAACCACCGCCTATAAGCACTGCGCAGCTCAGGATTCGTGATTGCTTTCACTTCACACTTGGTGAGCGAGGAGCGCACGGCAGGAAATTGCCGCGAGCGAAGCGTGTCTTGAGCGGACCGCGCGCGCAGTCGACCCACAACGTGTACCAGCATATGGCACTCGCATTTGCAATTTGATATCGTCGGCTTCTGCTGGCTGGCCGCACAAAAACCTTTGCGCCCCGAAAGTGATAGCGACCGGCTTTGTTGTAGGATAAAGGCCGCCAAAGTGCCGCGCAGACGTGTCTACGCAGATGAAGCTGTAGGTATATACGTGCGGCCAGCAATTGCGAATATAAAAAGTCCACGATTGTTCGAGACGCTGATAGCAAGTTAAGACATTGATCAGCTGCAGGGCAAATCAAGATGCGTCGTGGGGAGTCAAGAGTGCATGATCGCGATCGGAAGCAAGCTCTGCACGACGAGCGTGCCTATA